CCAGCAATTCAGTCCCTCAGAGTTTGGCTGTGTCTATGGAGCTTCCATGACCTTTCCTTGTACAAGTTGTCCTGGCTTCCCCAGTATTGTGTATTCTTAGCCTTCACCAAAGTTACCACTTATCTGTTGTCTATTTAGTGTAAAAATGAACTTTTTTTATGCATGACTTGCCAGTAAGAAAAATATACGTAATATCTGTATATAAGAGTTGTAAGGCAAAATTGAATGTTGTCAGTACCATTGTTTCAGTGAATTTCTCTGTCCCATCCTCCTGTCCTCCCTCCAAGAGGTAAATGTTATTTTGAGTTTTATATGTATCTTTCCTTTGACTGATAGAAGTATGGATGATAAATATAGTTTTCCTTATTTTTGACCTTTATAAGAAATTATATGTGAAATTTTCTGCAACTTGTTTCTTCACTCAGTATTTTTATAAGTTTGATCTATGTTGTGTGTTGCTGTAGTTCATTCATCATTGCTATTTAATGTACCACTGGGAGAGAATATACAGTTTATTTACCCATTCTTCTATCACTGGTGTATATCTAAGAGTAGAATTCCTGAGTTGCAGGTTATACAAATGTTCTACCTTGTCAGATAGTGCCAGATTGTTTTTTGTTTTTTTCTTTAAATAATATTTTATTGCATTTTTGGTGAAAGTTTACACAGCAAGTTAGGTTCCCCTTTGACAATTTCCACACAAATTGATCGGTGACATTTAGTTACATTTTTCACATTGTGTCAACATTCTCATTAATTGTGTTCTGGTTGTTACATTTCCAGTACTCTAGATTCCCTGCCCCCTTATTTTCTCATCTTTGCTTTGGATTAAATGTTGACCTTTTTGGACTCATACAGCTTTTTTTTTTTTAGTAGACCACCAGTCTAGTGGGTAATATCCTTTATTTTGTGTGTCACTCTGCTTTTTTTTTCTGTTAAAAGGAGATCTTGGGGTAGTTTTGGTTCAAGGCTTAGGGAGTCCTCTGATCTTGGTGGTTCATTTAATCTGGCCATTTTTAAGAATTTGAGTTTTGTTCTGCATTTTTCTCCCTTTCTAACCAAGATTATCTATTGTGGCCCAGGTCAGATCTGTCAGTGGTAGTAGCCGGGCACCATCTAGTTCTTCTGGTCTCAGGGTAGTTGAGTCATGGCTTGTGTAGGCCGTCAGCCTTGTAGACTTGTTTCTTCTCTCTAATTTTGGTTACCTTCTTACTCTTTTGCTCCTGACAAATAGAGACCAATAGTTGTATCTTAGATGACCACTCTCAAGTTTTTAAGACCCCAGGTGCTACTCACTTCCCTAGGATGCAGAACATGAACTTTGTGGACTATATTATGCCAGTTAACTGAGTTTACCCACGAAATGAAAGTTCTTAGCCTTCAAACCTAGAAAACCAGTCTTGCAAGGAGTTTGGTTATGAGAAGTATCTGTAATTGTGTCTTCTATGAATATATGTGCCTGTACACACATCTGTACTTATACGTACATATAGATACTTCTATCTGTGCATACTTATTTATACACCTGTACCTACCTGTATACCTGTATGCCTATACCCATTCATATGTGACCATACATTCATTTTTTGGTCATTGTTGGCGTTGTTGCCTAATTATATGTGTTGATTTCTTTAGTACAAGCATACTTTTGTCTTGAGCACTTCTTAGTGACATCATTCACTTTGGTCAAGCTGTGCTCCCTTCACCCACATTTGGTGCCACTTTTCTTTTTTAATCAATGCCATTTTAGCCGAGGTGAGATGGTATCTCATTTTGATTTGCATCTCTCTAATGGCTAATATAGAAACCCTGGTGGTGTACTGGTTAAGAGCTAGGGCTGCTAACCAAAAGGTCAGCAGTTCGAATCCACCAGGCACTCCCTGGAAACCCTGTGGGGCAGTTCTACTCTGTCCCATAGGGTCGCTATGAGTTGGAATTGAGTCGACCGCAATGGGCTTTATGGTTAATGGCTAATATTTGTGAGCATCTTTTCATGTGTTTGTCGGCTGCTTGATTATGGGGTTTTTTTTTTTTTTAATACGTTACTGAGTTCTCTTGGTTAGAATTTTGTTGAAAATTTTTGCATCTGTGTTCATGAGGGATATGGGTCTCTAATTTTCTTTTTTTGTGATGTCTTTGCCTAGTTTAGGTATCAGGGTTATGCTTGCTTCATAGAAAGAGTTCGATAGTGTTCCTTCCTCTTTTATGTTTTTTATGAGATTGAATAGAATGGGTGTCAACTCTTCCTTGAATGTTTGGTAGAATTCCCCCAAATTGTTTTTTAAAGTGGTTATACCAATTTGCCTACTTCTCAGAAATGTGATTGGTGAGGAAGTACATCAGTAGGAAGCCTTATGTTTGAAGAAGGGAGCCAAAATAACAGCTGTTTCTAGTTTGAGTGGGAAAAAAATAATGAAAGTAGAGTAAGTTCACAGATAAATATTAGAGGCCCTGTCATTTATGAAAGGAACCTTGGTGTAGCATTGGTTAAGCTCTCAGCTGCCAACCGAAAGGTCGGAATCGACTCATATTATTTATTTTATACATTGGATTTATTATTTTATAGACACTGTATAGCTGTTGCATAATTTTACAATTGATGTTACTTTTGGGACGGAATATGTATTTATAAATGCATGGTTTAAATCTTAGGCCTTGAAGTAGACAAATACGAATTTTAATCCTGACTCTGTCACATACTAATTTTATAATCTTAAAATAAGTGGATCCTACTCTTCTATTTCCTTAACACTTAATATTACCAGACTTAATTTTTCCCAGTCTATCAGGTATTTAATAGTATCTCATTTTGGTCTTAATTTGTGTATCTGTGATTATTAATGAGTTCGAACTTCAGATAAAACACTGAGAGAACATTTAGGAACTGAATTGGGGAGGAGAAAGGGGACAGTCTTATATTTTAGTATAGGCCTATCTCTTTGTATATAAGCATATTTTGGCATACAGCCTTCCTGTATATAGGAGATTATTATTAAAATGGAATTCTCATTCAAATAATTAACACTCACAAATTTCTATTCCATCCTAGGTCTAAATGATATTGTTTTTAAAGTATAAATGATTTATTCTGTGACCTTAATTAGTTTTTTCTTTCTGAGTCTATAGTGTATATGTTCACAAGCTTCAAATAGTATGTTCTCATTAAAAGAGGTGCTCTTGTGACAAACAGGAGTCTTACATTTGAAGAAGGAAGCCAGAGTACAAGTATTTCTAGTTTGAGTGAAAAAAGTAAAGAAGAAACTGGAATAAGTTTACAGGTAAATATTAGAGGCCCTGTTATTTAAGATAATACTATTGTATAATATGGTGTAGATGTCATTTGATTTGACAACTGAAGTTACATATCAGACATGGTGTCATACATATAAATGCATGCATGGTTTGAAGGTAGACCTTGGAATGGACCATCCTGAGTTCTAATCCTGACTCTGCCACTTAGTTGTATAGCTTTGCACAAGTTACTTAATGTTTCCAGCCTCGAGTTCCTTCATCTGAAAGGTAGAAGTAAAACCACCTATCTCACAGGTTGAGATTATACTGTGTATTTCCTGCCATAGCACCCTGTTCATTTTCTTTATAGTACTTACAATTATATATTTGTTTACCTGTTTATTATCTGTCACATCTCAGGGCAGGTTACTTCTGCTAGAAATTTCTTTTTTTTTTTTAAATTACTGGAATTATTGTTAATTCCAAAGCTTGCTTGCTTTTTTTTTTTTTGATTGTATTTTAGATGAAGGTTACAGAACAAATAGTTTCTCATTAAACAGTACACATATTGTTTTATGACAATGGTTAACAACCCCACGACATGTCAACATTGTTCCTTCTCAACTTTGGGTTCCCTGTTAGCAGCTTTCTTGTCCCCTCCTGCCTTCTAGTCCTTTTCCCTGGACTGTTGTGCCCCATTAGTCTCGTTTTGTTTTATGGGGCTGTCTAATCTTTGGCTGAAGGATGGACCTGAGGAGTGACTTCATTACTGAGCTAAAAGGGTGTCTGGGGGCCATACTCTTGGGATTTCTCCAGTCTCTGTCGGACCAGTAAGTCTGGTCTTTTTTTGTGAGTTAGAATTTTGTTCTGCATTTTTCTCTGCTAGAAATTTCTTAATGTCTAACTTCAGATAGGCACACAACACTGTCTGACATTCTTACTGAATTCCTTTGGTCATCTCATTCCTCTACAGTAACAATTTCAGCTTCTCCACTTTGCTTAAACTTCTGAACATTCTCTTCTCTTTCAGCTTGCCTCCTTCTTCTTGGAGAAAATAGGAACCATAAAATAGGAAATTATACCATGTCTCACTATCAAACAGAAATCTCCCTGCATCTGCTCCCGTTCTGACCTTCTTCCCTCTTGTTAAAAGTAGAAAAGCAGTTTCTCCTTATATCTAAGGCTAGTCCTTCCTGTGCTTTGTTTTATATCTACTGTTTCTCAGAAACATTACATTTTTTATTATGCCATGCTCCCTCCCAGCGATATTCTTCTCATTCTTCTAAATATTTTCAAACCTCTCCCATTAAAAACATTCCCCTTCTCACAAACACAAAATTCTTTCCCTCTACCCTATGTTCACTTTTGGGTATCACCCTCTCTCTTCTCTCCCTCCCTTCACAGCCAAAGCTGTGAAAGAGTTGTTTATGTTTGCAGTCTCCATTTTCTCTCCTTCTTCTCTGCTCTAATATGGCAGCGGCTAATGTCACCATCCATAAACTTCACATTGTTAAGTGTGGTGTTCACCTTTCATTCCTCTTCTTCCCGTTTCACTAACACTTAACACCAGTGATTGTGCCTCGTTTGAAATATGTTCTGTTTACCTTTTTAATCCCACTCTCCTGAGTTTTCTCCTTCCATTTTTGACTTTTTGTAGTCTCATTCTCCTTTACTGAGTTTCTGGAGGATCTTCTCCACCAGTCACTGTGCTAGGCTTAAGTACTAAGTGTTCCAACCCTGAGGGCTTGAGTTCGTGTTTATAAATAGAGACATTTTAATTAGAATTATAGAATTATGCCAGTATCAATGAATTTGTTTCTATATTTCCAAGATCAAGCACATTAAGACAGTTAAATTGCTTGGTAAGTTTTCTGTGGAATACCATTTAATTATAACATAATACAGTTTTGAGTTTTCTTTCAGACAAAAACTTAAGACCTTTATTTCTACCAAATTCAGTTTTCAAGAGTCAGATTTTGCAGAACTTCATTTTCCCATTTGCAGTTTTAGCTGTGGTCAGGATTGTGTTTATTTTTAATTTTTAGTGATTGTTTTGCACGTGATAAAAACCTGATCGACTGGTATTTATTTTTTATCTAATTCATGAGATTGTGAGCTGTTCTCCTCAGGTAGACCACAGTCATTCTGTTGTATGGGATCAGTCTGTTATGTTGCTGCTAATCCAGATCTTTAGAATATATTTCAATATTACTGTCTTTTACTTTTATAACATAACATTACTGTCTTTTAGTTTTATAACATTTAGAGTTGGGAGTTACATGTTGGTAATGATATCATTTCAAGTTTGCTGAAGTTTATAAAGTGTTATTTTTCCCCTCCAATTTTTGTTGTTTCCATGTTTCAGGATCTTCTCTTAGAAATCTATAGAAGTATAGGAGAGCCGGATAGCCTGTATGGCTGTGGTGGAGGGAAAATATTACAACCCCTTACTAGGTAAATTACATCTTTCTAGATGATGGTATGGTAATTCTGTATATAAAGGAATTACATGCATGTAGAACGCAAAGGTGTTTTGTTTGTTTGTTTTCCTTCTAGAATACGCACATATGAACATGAAGCAATGTGGGGGAAAGCCTTAGTAACATATGACCTTGAGACAGCAATCACCTCATCAACCCGCCAGGCAGGAATAATTCAGGTACCTTTTTTTCTGCTTTCGTAAAGCCATCATTTAGTGTGTTGCAGAAATTATTTCAGAATGTCAGTGGAATATTTACACAGCCCTATAAACTCTAGAGAAGAGACTGGAAATGATTGGTTTTTCAGGCATTGGATCTGCAAGATACACAAGAAAGTTGGACAGGATATTGACCTAAGAGATAGCATAAATTTGTTGATAATCTTGTTAGCTAACAGTACTTGACATTTCTTTAATTTACAGTGTGCCAGGTGCCAATGTGCTGAGTGCTTCACCGGGAAAATCTAATTCTAGTTTGCCTAGTTTACGTTACAGTGGGTCCCAGAAGCTGTCATTTCTGTCACTGGCCAATACTCGTTAGTGATTCCTCCAGCAAATATTAGAGCCTTTGAGTTCTGTTTATGTTTTTTGGGGAAACATACTAAACAATATTTTGGGATTTTAAGCAAAATTCTGACCTAGATTTTTTTAAACTTAATTTTTATATTTGATTGCTGATTTTTGTTTTAGTTTTCTCTTAATATTTTTGATTACCCACTTTTTTTTTTGAACTTCTGCCCAGGCCTTACAGAATTTGGGACTCTGCCATATCCTTTCCACCTATTTAAAAGGATTAGATGATGAAAATAAAGAGTGGTGTGCTGAACTACAGGAACTTCATTACCAGGCAGCATGGAGGAACATGCAGTGGGACCAGTGCAATTCTGTCAGGTAAGAAGAAATCTGAAATTTGTTTTATTATGCCTTCATTCCCTAGTTCTAAACAGTAAACTTTTTATCTTGCTCTATGAATGTAACAGGAATTGTGTTTTTATCTATTAGGGATGCTGTAAGGCACAGATAACCTTAAAAGCTTAAATAAAATAGCAATAAGCAGTTAACACACATTGGCATGAATTCCACTGTCTTCCTCCATTAGGGAAACTCAACCCCCACCCCCAAGATATTTTTGAAAATAGAAATATGAAAGGTACTTTCTATATGGGAGTCCTCTCATTTATTGCTTGTTGGACTGAAGAATCCAAAGAAAAGTATAGGCATTCCCCTTTCCACTCCCTGCTGCAAATATTTTAGTCAGTCAGATAGAACTTTTATTGGCTGATGGTATACGAAGGACTGCTTTTCTTTATTTATGAAATAATTTCTTTTTAAAAAACTGCTACATCAGTGACACAGGAAGATAATATGTAAGGTCACCAAGTATTCTGAATGAAAAGCCAAACAGTCTAACAAAGGATTACATATTTATGCAGTCTTTTGATGGTATAAAAATCAAATCATATTTAATTGTACGTTTAATTACCTTCATAGAAAAAAATTCTCATTAATCAGAATATCTTTCAAGTTTCTATAAGATTGCTATAAATTAGAGATATACTCTCAGATTTTTAAAACATTTTACTCTGTGTTCTGGTTCCCAGTTACCTCTATAAATTATCATATGCCATTCTGCCTTTTGACTATTAGTTTCAGCCACACAGACCTTCTCTCTGCTTTTTTGATGAGGCCACCTGTCCTAACTAAACGCCTTAGATGTATTCTCTACTTTCTCTCTAGTTACCTTGTGAGTGGCTCTTTGTCATTCAAGCTAATAATGTCACTTTTTCAGAGAGACCCTTCCTGATCACTCACTCTAAAGTAGCCACTCAGTCATTCTGTTTTGTTACCGTTTTAATTCTCTGCATGTCCATCGTCATTATCTGATATTTTTCTCATTTATTGTCCGTCTTCTCCAAATTGTTCTCATTTATTGTCCGTCTTCGTCAAACCAGAATATAAACTCAATGAGAGTGGAGACCTGATGGACGTATCCCCTAATGGATCCCGTTAATCTAGAACTTGGCTCTAGTGCCTGGCACATAGTAGGTGTTCATTGAATAAATAAATAAGAATGTACCATATTTAAAAAAAAAAAAAAAACACTGCTGCTGAGTTGATTCAGACTCATAGGGACCCCATAGGAGTTTCCAAGGCTGTAAATCTGTACAGAAGCAGACTGCCACATCTTTCTCCCACGGAGTCGCTGGTATTTTTGAACCGCTGACCTTTTGGTTAGCAGTCGAGCACTTTAACCACTGTGCCACCAGGACTCCATAATTATGACCAGTCAAAATATCTGAGAAATTTCCTTATTTTCTACTTCCACAATTTAAGTGACCCACAAAATTATTTGAATTTCTCCTCAACATTTCTAGAAAGGTGTTCTTAAATAATGGAGAGATATTAATTTTAGTTTTAGAATTTTATCTTTTGATGAAGTATTTATACATGTGTATGTTAGGATTCTCTGTTTTTCAATACTTTTTTTTTTTTTTTTTTAACTTATCTCACAGCAGAGGACTGGAAGGAACCAGTTACCATGAATCCTTGTACAATGCTCTTCAGTCTTTAAGAGACAGAGAGTTTTCCACATTTTATGAAAGTCTCAAATACGCCAGGTATTGTAAAAAGTCAAAATGCTTTGTATTTCAGCGTCTAATGCCGAGTCTTCTTTTCTTAAAACTTGCTGCACAATTTCAGTTTAAAGATTTGCATTGGTGAAGGGGTGAGGATGAGGTGGTTAGTTGGAATGTTTCCTTGTCCTTCCCTGCCCTCATCCCCCAAAGAATTCCCTTTTGGGACTCCAGGTCAGTTTTTTACCATTAGCCCTCTAGAAAGTCTTGGGAATCCCCAATCCTGCATTCTTTTCTTGGGCCGGTATCAGGAGAATTTTAATCTTGTCCCTTCTATTTAATAGTTGTATGGCATTTACTTCTCTTAACAATAGTGTTCTAATTTATAAAATGGTAGCTAATAGTCAATACTTAGAGTCTTGTTCTGAGGTACAAATGAGATAATACCTAAGGAAAAAACTTAACTCTAAACGGTTAATCAGATATAACTTGTTTTTTGTTTAACAGTAGGTACTGACCTACTAAATCCTATATTTTGTTGTAGAAACAGTATTTGCTACCATTTAAGTGCTTATTATGTGCTAGCCACTGTTAGGTTCTTTCCATATGTATTTTCTGATCTTCATTATAACTCTGAAAGTGAAAAAACTTAGGCTCAGAGAATTCCAGTAATGTGCTCAAAGTTACACAGCCAGTAAATAGCAGAACTGGGATTTAGATCTACGTTTGTATGATTCCAAGGCCTATTTTGTTTCCACTGCATTATACTATCATTTGTGAATGTTAGTTGTTATTAGATCAGCAGCAAAGCCTGTAATGCGTACCCTTTGACAAGTCTGAACTTTTATCTCCCTGAAAGACTCTTCTTTGTTTTCATTTTCTTTTCTGCCACTAGAGTGAAGGAAGTGGAAGAATTGTGTAAGGGCAGCCTTGAGTCTGTGTATTCGCTCTACCCTACACTTAGCAGATTGCAGGCCATTGGAGAGCTGGAAAACGTTGGGGAGCTTTTCTCAAGGTTTGTGATCCATATAACTTTGTAGTCCTACAGTACAGCTTTTCTGTTACAACAGTGACTTTAAAAACTATGTAGAGACCATCTGTAGGTTTGCTTCTTCAGTCAAAATAAAAGTTGATTAGCTTAGTCATCTGTGCTCTTATTAAAATAAACATTTTCAAAAATGTTCGTTGTAAAAATTTGTTTCTAAAGCTCAGTCTAATTGCACCTTTTTTCCTGTTCTACCTCAGATAAAATCATTTCCCCGTGTTTTTTGGCATAGCACATTGTACCCCATTCTGTTTGACACATTGTATTTGGGTCATTTTATGTATATTTTATGTATATTTTATGTATATTCTGCCACGCTAAACCAGAGGCTCCCTAAAAGTAAGGATCATTCTCTTATTTATTGTTGTATCACCAGTGTCTTTTCCTGGTGACTGATAGTTAGGTAAACATTCAGTGTGTCTTTATTCAGTCAATGTCAGTGGATTTGGTGTAGATGTTTAGGGGAGATTGCCTGTTACAACTGTGAGAAAAATGTGATCCAGTGATACAGGAAAATGAATAGTTATTCAGGATGTTATGAATCTAAGTTCTGACTTTTTGACCTGGAGAAAGTCACTTCACCTCTTTGGGCCTCAGTTTCTTCATTTCTGAAATGAGGGATTTATATTTGTTGATCCCTAGGGGCCCTTTTATCCCTGCTATTCTGAATCACTATTATTACTATAAGAGGAAGGAAGCCAAACCCACTGCTACTGAGTCAATTCCGACTCATAGCAACCCTGTAGGACAGAGCAGAACTGCTCCATAGGGTTTCCAAAGCCATAAATGTTTACTGAAGCAGACTGCCACATCTTTCTCCTGTGGAGCAGCTAGTAGATTTGAACTGTCAACCTTTCAGTTAGCTGTCAAGCACCTAACTGCTGTACCACCAGGGCTCTCTAAGAGGAAGGAACCAAAAAAACCAAACTCACTGCCATCGAGTCAATTCCGACTCATAGCGAGCCGATAGGACAGAGTAAAACTGCCCCAAAGGGTTTCCAAGGAGCGCCTGGTGGGTTCAAACTACTGACCTTTTGTTGGCAGCCGAGCTCTTAACCGCTGCACCAACAGGGCTCCAAGAGGAAGGAAAGAGGGTATTAATTACTCAGAACTCCATACCTTCAGGCAGAAATAAATCTTGTAATATGCTTTGGAAGTAGGAAGGAGAAGGCAGTTTTGGAGTCAGATTTTTTTTTTTTTTTTTCAAAATTGTGAGGCAGAAGAAAAGCCATTGATGAGGCTCTGTTGTGGCTAGAGAATAAAGGGCCAAAGTGATTTCCGATTGTATTGGTAATTGCATTGGCAGCTCTTACTGCCGGAAATCTAGGAACTTTTTCTTTGAATAAAAGATCTTGGATACTAAAAAGAGACTATTCCTCAAGAAATCTCTAAAGTCTAATGCCAGCTCTTTCTCTGGTGGGGAAGTAAAGAAAGAGAGGCAGAGGGAAAGTTTGATGAACTGGTGAGCAAATACTTAAGTTCTAGGGCAACAGTTCTCAAAGTTCTCTCTTGGGGATTTCTAGGGGTCCCCAAGATCCATTGAGGTGGTCCATGAAGTTACCTTGATAATTATACTGAGATGTTGTTTACTTTTTTTTTTTTTTTTGCTCTCATCAGGTACAGTGGAGTTTTGGTGAGGTGTCAGAGAAGAATATCCATAATTATTTGAAAAGGCTATTAACATTTTCGTCCGTTTTCCAACTATATATTTGTGTGAGGCTAGCCTTTCTTAATATATTTTAGCCAAAACATCGTATCATGGCAGACTGAATGCAGAAGCAGAGATGAGAATCCAGCTAGTTTCTATTAAACCAAACTTTTAAGAGATCTGCAAATATGTAAAACAGTGCCATTCTTTGCACTAAATTTTGTTTTGTTTGGGAAAATACAGTTATCTTTCATAAAATATGTTAACAT